TAGCACCAGCAATACCAACTACCCCATCAACTCCAGCAATAGCACCAACGATGGCACCGACACCATAGTCGGTTAGAGGGCCCCCTACGAACCAGGAGTGGCCAAGAGACCCTCCAAGAATTGACTCCTAAAAATGTGGCAGAGCTTCACCTTCACCGAGGTAGTGTTTGATTTGAAGCGCTGAGATCGACCAAGCGAAATCAGAACTCTTCTCGAGATCAAGACCAAGCCTGATCTCAAGGAACGGTGGAATCGGGCTTCAGATCCTTCGAATAGCTCCTTCTTTATGCTGGAGTTCGTCGGGATCTCGCTAACCCTCGCTGAAATTCGTGCTCCTTTGACTCCTCAATCCAGCAGCACCTCCTCCTCTTGATAATTAATTCCCCCACTGAAAGGAGGCCCTAGGCCTGTATTTATAGGGCTCCGGATGCAGGTTTGTGGATAAAAATGAGTAATTTGGCCTTATCTTCAGTCAATACGTTTGTAGATGATATCAAGTCAATTGGGAACCTCTGGAACCGAAAAGATCTCGAGAAAACCATTAAAACTATCGAAAAACACGTCAGCGGGATGTCAAAAACAGGTGGGGGGGCGGGTCGTGCTGACCCGGGCGGGTCGGCTTTGACGCGACCCGCCTGAATCTCGCCGGTTCGGCCATGTCGAGCCCGCCGACCCGTAGGGTCGCCTTGGTCGACCCGCGACCACGGGTCGGCGAGGACGACCAGCACAACCAGCGGGCCAGCAAGGCCGACCGATACTGTCGGGTCGGTTATCGCGCCGACCGCGCTGGTAGTGCGGGATCGTTTCGGCCACGCCCGCAGTCAGGTGGCGGTTCCGAAGCTTGACACTTTCTTTTGGTTTTCCAACTCTTCCAGGACTTATATTTTCCACCGTTTTGCGTGCTTGACCGTCATGTTTACTTGTACGATTTTGTTGTGAGACTGACCGTCAAATGCGCATTGGTTGACTTGTGCGTGTTGGTTGACATGCACGTGTTGACCGACACGCACGAACTGATTGACGCGCGCGTGCCACTTGGTTCGTCGTTTTGCTTCATACGCTTGTCGACGACGGATAATCCTCTTAGACTCGGATAACAACGTTCATTGTCTTTTCTCCGTCTCGAGCTGTGTACGGATACCTATAGGTATTTTTAGACGCCTACAGATACCCCCTCCAAAGCATTTCAGACTCATTCTTTTATAGAAGAGTCTGGAATGCTTTGGATAAGATAAGCCATCTCTGCAATTTCGTAGGGTGACCTTTAACTACCTCAATTCTTAACTTCTTCAGCCTTCAATCTATTTATTGTTTCGTCGAATAGATGAAGTTCTTTTGGTGTTGCGTTTATCGTCTGACCGTTGTCGAAATTTTAAATTAAGATTGTTGTGTAAGTTTCCGAACTTATCTCATGTCATTGAGTTGACTTTGAACTGATCATCTCTGTCAGGAATTCATATCTGATTGTAATTGAAATCATTGGAGTCATCTTTTGCCTTATTTTGGTGAAATTGCTGATGCGTTGACCGGCATCGATCTTTACTATAACGCGTTGACCGGTGCTAACATAGTTTATACTCGTATGTTTGCTGGAGTCTACACAGTTTAAGCTCTTAAGGCATTGGAGCGTGGCAGTCCTAAATATTAGGCTGTAGGACCAACTATTAAAGCTAATTCATCTGCATGTGTGGATCTTATTCCGAATTTGTTGGATGCTCAAGTCACGAGACCAACTAATGAAGCTGATACGTCAGTGACTTGCATTTATAGAATTTTTGACAAATTCTCAGCCATCAACGGGTTTGATGAGCCTTTACCGACTACCGTTTGAGTCGGGCTAGCACGCGGATTGTTTAAGTCCGTCCCGCATGTGACGTTATGCTAAAAGAGTTAACTCTTTTAGTGCTACAATATTGAATACGTAGACTTCGTCCTTCTCACGTGAAAAGACTAAACAGCGACGTGTATTAGGCGTAGACTTTAAGGTTTTGGCAAACCCTCAGCCTTCAACGGGTTTGATGTGCCTTTACCGATTACCGTTTGAATCAGGCTTGCATGTGGATTGTTTAAGTCCGTTTCACATGTGACGTTGTGCTAAGAGAGTTAACTCTCTTAGTGCTACGATATTGAATACATAGACTTCGTCTTTCTTACAGGAATAGACTACCCGGCAACACGTGTTAGGCGCTGACTTATCCGTACTTAGGCTTCGAGATAAAATTCCTCGTGCGTGTGAAGCACGGATTTTGGCGTTATGAATAACAACCTGCCACAATATCGAATATGTGGGCTTTTGTTCTTTTTACGGTTAAGAACTAACCGGCAATGCGTGTTAGGCATTGACTTATCCCTGCTTAGGATTCGGGATAAAATTCCCCGTACGTGTGAAGCACGGATTTTGGTGTTATGAATAACAACCTGCCACAATGTCGAATATGTGGGCTTTTGTTCTTTTTATGATTAAGAACTAACCGGCAACGCGTGTTAGGCATTGACTTATCCCTACTTAGGTTTTGGGATAAAATTCCTCGTACGTGTGAAGCACGGATTTTGGTGTTATGAATAACAACCTGCCACAATACCGAATATGTAGGCTTTTGTTCTTTTTATGGTTAAGAACTAACCGACAATGTATGTTAGGCATTGACTTATTCCTACTTAGGCTTCGGGATAAAATTCCCCATGTATAAAAGGCATGGATTTTTGTTGCTACGATGCTGAATACGTAGACTCGGTCGTTTTTACGGGAGCGAACCACCCAGCAACGCGGGTTAAGTGTTGACTTATCCCTACTTAGGCTTCAGGATAAAATACCCCAGACTGGATTCTGGTGTCTTGTTCAATCGGTGAAAGACCAAACCGGTAACGCGTGTTAGGCGTTGACTTATCCCTACTCAGGATTCAGGATAAAATTCCCCGTGCCTTTGAGGCACGGATTTTAGGAGTTGAAAAAGTAGTGTCTTCTCTTGGGGCAAAGACGAACCCGAAACGGGAGAGGAAGAATTTTATATTCTATCTCCCAAAGCTAAAGAGAGAGAATTTTATATTCTATCTCCAGTCATAAAAGGAAACTCAAAGTGGGATCCCCACTTCAAGAATCTAGAAAGGTGAAACTAAGAGTGGGATCTCCACTCCGAGAATCAAAAAGATTCGGATAATCCTAACTGTCGGAAGGTTTGATTATCGAACTAAAGATGAATTTCTCGTTTATCGAGAGTGAATTATAGTTTTGGTCCTTACTGTAGGAAGGTTTGACCAAGCGGGAGTTTGAGGTGACCCTAACTGTAAGAAGGTTTGATCACTCGATTTGAAAGTGGACCTCTCGTTCATTGGAGGAATCGAGAGGGGATTTTGGTTTTGACCCTAACTGTAGGAAGGTTTAACCAAATGGGAGGTTTGAGACGATCCTAACTGTAGGAAGATTTGATCGCTCGATTTATGGACCTCTTGTTCATTGAAGGAATCGAGAGGGGATTTTGATTGTGGTCCTAACTGTAGGAAGGTTTGACCAAGTGAACAGTGAGAGTGGGAGTACAAATTACAGTAGGAGTGTTGACTTATACAAATCACTCAGTAGGGGTTCTTAGTGTCAAGTGATAAGGACTTAACACGAAGGGGTTTGACAATTCGTCAAAGATTGACAGATGATAATTCCAAGCATTATATCCGGACTCTAACCATGAAAGTGTTGAGTGCATGAACATAGCAGAAGTTTGAATGAATTAAACCGGAAAGAATTTCAGTGATCCCACCGTCGGTTAGTCTAATCGATGGGGGATTTTTGTGGTGGAAGACTATGAGTCGTCGAACACCAATGGAAGTTTTGTGAGAGAAGATTGATCCAACGAACACTACAACAGAAAAGCTAATCCGCGAGGAACAATTTTGTCGTTGAAAGTCGAGATTTCCTCGTCGTAGTGTGCTGGCGAGGAAAAAACTTTGGTCACCATTTCCTCGCGATAGGGTGGTCAAAAAAAGTTTCTGCGAGGAATATTATAATTTCTCGCGAAATCATTTTGGCGATGAATACATTCTTTTCTCGTTGTTACTCTTTAGCCTCGATATTTTTCTTCTCCTAATCTCATACCTTTTTCATCGCTAAACTACAGATTCATCGCCAATGATACGTGAATAATATTTAATTTATATATAATAAAAGTTCTAAAAAAAACTATTTTTGTCGTTGTAAGCATCTTTCAGCGAGGAAACTGTTCCTCACCAAAGGTAAATCTTTAACGAGGAAATTAATTTTCTTCATTATATGTATCTTTTTCTCGTGGAAACAGTTCCTCAGTAAAGGAACTCAAAGACGAGGACATTTAAATTTGTCGTTGTAGGTTGTACCTCATATTCCTCGCCAAAGAAATTCAATTACGAAGAAATTTACATTTGTCGATATAGGTTATATGATCTATAACGAGGAAAATTACTTTTGCCATTCTAGGTTGTTTCACTATAGCGAGGAAATATGTTTTTATCGACGTAAGCAATATACTCTATAATGAGGAAATTTTACTTTCATCGACGTAAATATATAGCGAGAAAACTTATAATAAGAAAATTTTATTTCATCAATAATAATGCTATTACGAGAAAAATGCTCAAAATATAAATAATTGTCATCAATTGTCACCACAGTACATCAAAACAATTAAAATAAATAAAACAAGCAAGTTTCTACCATAAGTAACAATGCTAGCCTAAAAAAATAACAAATGCAACAAGATCAAATAAATATTTCTCCAAGTTTAAGTTCACTAAGAATACTAAGCTGATGGATGTTGCCTGGAAAAATTAGTCGTAAACTCCTCAAACTTTTTGGCTTGCTCCTCCAATCTTTGGATTGCCTCATTTCGCGCATCGATCTTTTGTTGTTGAGTTTCTACAAGTTGTTGGGTCTCTTGAAGCTGTTCTTACAACTCTTTATTCTTTTAGACATTTCATTCATTGAAGAACGAGAGAACCTTAATGGTGATGGTCTAGGACCAAAACCACAACCCTTAATGTAGCCTGATTTGACTGAAAACTTTTGCACAAATTTCCTCCTCTGTCATTGTTCGAGTTCCATCAGGTTGAGCGGTATCTGCTCGCATCTTTATCATTTGATCCTATAAATAAAAAAATATATCTAGTTCAATTATATGCAACTTCTCAATAATCAATATAATCCTCTTTAGAACAGTAATATCAGCTTCACCTATATTCTTAAAATATTATAAAACCATGTATCATTGCCACATTACTTACCCATTTTTCTTTGCTCCCAAGTCCCATCATTTTTTTGTGCTTCTATACTTTGTTTCAAAACGATCAATTGAACCTTACATCTCTCCAGTCTGTGCTGCCTATTGCATTCAAACAAATTTTCTTTTTCAGCATATATATATGTAGACAATTAAGTTACAAATTTATAAGCAAAACTAAAAAGTATCTTACAATTTGTTTTTGGTGTGACATAAATGATTTTGACCCAGCTTTATGGTGATATGTCAACTTTGACCTATTAAGAACATTCTTCTCTGAGCGAATCTAAAATTATTAAGACATACAATTAGAAAGAGGTAAATGAAAAAAGAAAAAATGTAATGCGTGGAGAAAAATAAAAAAAGATATTATACCTTAAACTTTTCACTAGAAAAATGAGTGCAAAGAAACTCCCATTCTTCCTAAGTCTTGATAGCTTCATGTTATGATTACATATCTCTGGACCCAAGGGAGAGACATGTCAAATTCAAACTTATTCTGCACAGGTATAATTTTATGTCAAACTAAATATAACAAATCAAAGCAAACCAATATAATGCCTATAGCAAAACAAATCACTAACTTGGGTTCTTTTGATCAAGTTCTCCACATCTGCTTTTTCAATCTTCTTCCATTTTTTCCACATTCAGTGGGACGTAGTTTTGAATTGTGTAACCAATTTCATTTGCAAACATCTCAGCATAAGGGCCCGTAAGTCTGCCATTTTCTTCAGTCAAAGTCACAGGTATTTTAGAATTCAATTGGGAGAACACCTTATCTGCATTCACTCCTCTTTTCTTCCCTCGCACCTTTTTGGTTGTACCTTTGACATAATTTTTAATAAGAAAATAACACATACGTATGTTTAATTCTCAAAATATATGTATATAATGTTTTGTATACCTGAAGGAGGCTCCTGATTAATATCTGACATCACATTATCATCTCGCTCTTCAGCTATGGTGTTTACCACTGGCTGATCAGTGTAAATCACAAATACCCACTTTGTACCTCGTAAATCGAGAAGTGTTAGTGCTTTTAAATAATTTGAGACTTAATAAGTGCTACTAAAAGTATAGATGGGAGAGGTTATTACCCGCAATTTGCTCAATCATCAAATAAATCCATCAAATAATCTGCCAGTAGTACAAAACACAGAATCTTTAACATTACCCAAAAATCATCAGTTTCATTCATTTCAAACTAATTGATTGAAAATAACTTCAAAATGAAGCAGCATTAAATAGCAAGTGCCAGCAGAAACAATGTTACCTGTCAACATCCTTTTCACTATATAAGCACTTCCTGCTGCATGGATGCTTACCAGTTTTCAATACTAGAACTGATCAGACCACAAAAAAGATAATAAAAAAACGGCCAGACCATAAGCAAACACGCTGAGGTACTACTCTATCTACGTCCGCGTTTTGTTGCCTTTAGCGCTTCCTTCGCGGAGCCAGTTTTGAGGGATCGTTTCTTCGAAACTGCCTGAATTTCCTCCTTCGTTCCACTCGATCCTTTAGTCTTGGAAAGTGCAGCGGCACAATCTGCAAGTTTGTCGGTTTTAGGTGATTCTCCCTCAATCGCCTTTATAATGCGTACCTGACGTGATGTAAGAAAGGAATATGTTAGGGTATGGAACATCATTAATGACATACAACTACTTACACAAACGACTGACTGAAGTTCGACCGGGGAAGTTACTAATGTCTTGTGTGTCCGTTGCAAACGGTGAGCTAACGTTTGATACATTTGAACTCGGGTTTATCTATGACTCAGGTAATCCTTCTATGAATCAAGCAACATTCAGAGTTCAAAAGATGTTTGTTATGAGAAAGCAAAAGCTCGGATAAAGGGTATTGAAGATGTCCTGAGATTTGTGAAGGTCATTATGATGGATGATCACTATAATATTACTACATGATCAAATTGATTTTGGAGATCCACCAGCCATCTCATCAAGGGGAAAAAGAGATCTTTACTATGAACATCCATAAGGTGGTCAAAATAAGTTTATTTCAGTAGAATAAAGGCAACATGTTGAGCTCCATGCAAAGTGATTAAAACATATACAACTATTTGAGGAAAACACACGACCTGGGATTGAAACATCACATATGACAATTGATATGAACTTATGATCACCATGTACATCAGTTATATGTACGGAGGCCCATGAATTCTGCTAATTGTCATTACTGGACTAGATTTCTCTCCCTAAATTTCAATATTTCAATACATTGTCGTTTCATAGTACTTATGGATAGTTTTAGAACCAAAATACATAACTATAGACTATCAATACAATTAATCTACAGGAACAAAAAGTCAAAACAAAATCAAGTAACCCGTGAACAAAAGAATCTGCACTACGAAAAATAACTATTTGATGCAAACGACTAAAATCATAACGGAAGGTTGCACATCATGGAGAGTAAGGTTTACCATAGTAGGCACTAAGCACTTAAAAAAAGTGAAATTCAATATTACCTTAAATCTTGTCGGCTCGCTTAGTTCAAATACTAAGACATCCCTATCTTCTAAATTATGATCTATTGCAAAGCCTCTCCATCCACCACTAAGACCATTCTTCCTCCCAAGGTACAGGACATCATGTTCCTTACCCTTCTTATCTTCTAGAATCACTCTCAGCTCATTAGGAGAAAAGTTTTCTTTGCAAAACTTTGTCGGAAGTCCCTTAATGATAATAAAATACAAACACTTCAGGAACAAGTGACATTGATTTCACTTGATAGCTCGAGACTCAATTTAGTGGTAGGAGTGATTTTTAACTTACAAGCCAAAAACCACCAGATACATGTGATCGAACCATAGGCTTAATGAATGAAGGATAGTGGGACGTTAAATCTCTCTGAAATTCCTCTGCTCTCTTTAATGCAGCAATCTTTTGATCTTCAGAAAATAAAAACTTAGGAACACAAAGCTCACCTTTACCCAGGTCATCCTCCAGCTCATGAACTACAAATGCTCTTCCAATGACTGCATTAGGGCCAGCCAATGAAATCTAAATACACATGAAGAATTGTGAATAGGAACAAAAGAAAATCAGCAAGATTAAAACATAAATCAAGATAGCGTAATATCCGTCATAAAAAATTATAACATAAATCTTCCTACATTTGTTGGCCACTGTTAACATGAAATACCATCTGGACAGCACATGATTCCAACATTACACTTTCTGCATATTCCTCATATCCATGTCCTGCAGTTACTATATTTTCATCGTGCCACATATGCATCAAACTTAACATTTCTTCAAACAAACAATAAAGATATGCTCAACACTGTAATTCAACTATTTGTAAAATTATCTGCATTGCGGCACATCTATCAGCTGTAGGCATATAAAATTGCTTATAGGTCCCTTAGCACAGCTCGGCACAAACCGACGAACCAACGAGGCGACGAGATCGACGAATCACACGCAAGCAACGGAATACATCCGTTCGCGTGTGGGATCAAGCCAAGTGTTCGAAGAGTCAACGAGTCATCCAACCAAGGGGAAACTCGGACGAATCACGATCAAATCAAGATCAGTTTCGGACTCGAACTCAGAAGCGGATTTACTGCCAAATCAGGAATCCAATTTACTGCCAAATCAGATCATCAAATCAGAGTCTCAGGTCAACCGAAACACGGACAAACGAGACATTTCATCAATAATAATGCTATTACAAGAAAAAAGCTCAAAATATAAATAATTGTCATCAATTGTCACCACAGTACATCAAAACAATTAAAATAAATAAAGCAATCAAGTTTCTACCATAAGTAACAATGCTAGTCTAAAGCAATAACAAATGCAACACGATCAAAGAAACATTTCTCCAAGTTAAGTTCACTAAGAATACTAAGCTGATGGATGTTGCCTGGAAAAATTAGCCATAAACTCCTCAAACTTTTTGGCTTGCTCCTCCAATCTTTGGATTACCTCATTTTGCGCATCGATCTTCTGTTGTTGAGTTCCTACAAGTTGTTGGGTCTCTTGAAGCTGTTCTTGCAACTCTTTATTCTTTTCAGACATTTCACTCATCGAAGAACGAGAGAACCTTAATGGTGGTGGTCTAGGGCCAAAACCACAGCCCTTAATGTAGCCTGATTTGACTTTGAGAACTTTTGCACAAATTTCCTCATCTGTCATTGTTCGAGTTCCATCAGGTTGAGTGGTATCTGCTCACATCTTTATCATTTGATCCTATCAGTAAAAATATATATATATCCAGTTCAATCATATGCAACTTCTTAATTACAACCTAATCAATATAATCCTCTTTAGAACAGTAATATCAGTTTCACCTATATTCTTAAAATATTATAAAAGCATGCATCATTGACACGTTACTTACCCATTTTTCCTTTGCTCCCAAGTCCCATCCTTTTTTTGTACTTCTATACTCTGTTTCAAAACGATCAATTGCACATTGCATCTCTCCAGTCTGTGTTGCCTATTGCATTCAACCATGTTTTCATTTTTAGCATATATATATGTACACAATTAAGTTACAAATTTATAAGCAAAACTAAAAAGTGTCTTACAATTTGCTCTTGGTGTGACATAAATGATTTTGACCCAGCTTTGTGGTGATATGTCAACTTTGACCTATTAAGAACATTCTTCTCTGAGCGAATCTAAAATTATTAAGACATACAATTAGAAAGAAGTAAATGAAAAAAGAAAAAATGTAATGCGTGGAGAAAAATAAAAAAGATATTGTACCTTAAACTTTTCACTAGAAAAATGAGTGCAAAGAAACTCCCATTCTTCCTGAGTCTTGACAGCTTCATGTTTGTTTTGAATTGCCTCCTCAATTGTTGAAAACTGCTCAAAATGTTTCTTTAACTTATAGCAAAAAATTACAATATACGGTCTGACATGTTGTAATTACATATCTCTGGACCCAAGGGAGCGACATATCAAATTCAAATTTATTCTGCACAGGTATAATTTTATGTCAAACTAAATATAACAAATCAAAGCAAACCAATATAATGCCTATAGCAAAACAAATCACTAACTTGGGTTCTTTTGATCAAGTTCTCCACATCTGCTTTTTCAATCTTCTTCCATTTTTTCCACATTCAGTGGGACGTAGTTTTGAATTGTGTAACCAATTTCATTTGCAAACATCTCAGCATAAGGGCCCGTAAGTCTGCCATTTTCTTCAGTCAAAGTCACAGGTATTTTAGAATTCAATTGGGAGAACACCTTATCTGCATTCACTCCTCTTTTCTTCCCTCGCACCTTTTTGGTTGTACCTTTGACATAATTTTTAATAAGAAAATAACACATACGTATGTTTAATTCTCAAAATATATGTATATAATGTTTTGTATACCTGAAGGAGGCTCTTGATTAATATCTGATATCACATTATCATCTTGCTCTTCAGCTATGGTGTTTACCACTGGCTGATTAGTGTAAATCACAAATACCCACTTTGTACCTCGTAAATCGAGAAGTGTTAGTGCTTTTAAATAATTTGAGACTTAATAAGTGCTACTAAAAGTATAGATGGGAGAGGTTATTACCCGCAATTTGCTCAATCATCAAATAAATCCATCAAATAATCTGCCAGTAGTACAAAACACAGAATCTTTAACATTACCCAAAAATCATCAGTTTCATTCATTTCAAACTAATTGATTGAAAATAACTTCAAAATGAAGCAGCATTAAATAGCAAGTGCCAGCAGAAATAGTGTTACATGTCAACATCCTTTTCACTATATAAGCACTTCCTGCTGCATGGATGCTTACCAGTTTTCAATACTAGAACTGATCAGACCACAAAAAAGATAATAAAAAAACGGCCAGACCATAAGCAAACACGCTGAGGTACTACTCTATCTACGTCCGCGTTTTTTTGCCTTTAGTGCTTCCTTCGCGGAGCCAGTTTTGAGGGATCGTTTCTTCGAAACTGCCTGAATTTCCTCCTTCGTTCCACTCGATCCTTTAGTCTTGGAAAGTGCAGCGGCACAATCTGCAAGTTTGGCGGTTTTAGGTGATTCTCCCTCAATCGCCTTTATAATGCGTACCTGACGTGATGTAAGAAAGGAATATGTTAGGGTATGGAACATCATTAATGACATACAACTACTTACACAAACGACTGACTGAAGTTCGACCGGGGAAGTTACTAATGTCTTGTGTGTCTGTTGCAAACGGTGAGCTAACGTTTGATACATTTGAACTCGGGTTTATCTATGTCTCAGGTAACCCTTCTATAAATCAAGCAACATTCAGAGTTCAAAAGATATTTGTTATGAGAAAGCAAAAGCTCGGATAAAGGGTATTGAAGATGTCCTGAGATTTGTGAAGGTCATTATGATGGATGATCACTATAATATTACTACATGATCAAATTGATTTTGGAGATCCACCAGCCATCTCATCAAGGGGAAAAAGAGATCTTTACTATGAACATCCATAAGGTGGTCAAAATAAGTTTATTTCAGTAGAATAAAGGCAACATGTTGAGCTCCATGCAAAGTGATTAAAACATATACAACTATTTGAGGAAAACACACGACCTGGGATTGAAACATCACATATGACAATTGATATGAACTTATGATCACCATGTACATCAGTTATATGTACGGAGGCCAATGAATTCTGCTAATTGTCATTACTGGACTAGATTTCTCTCCCTAAATTTCAATATTTCAATACATTGTCGTTTCATAGTACTTATGGATAGTTTTAGAACCAAAATACATGACTATAGACTATCAATACAATTAATCTACAGGAACAAAAGTCAAAACAAAATCAAGTAACCCGTGAACAAAAGAATCTGCACTACGAAAAATAACTATTTGATGCAAACGACTAAAATCATAACGGAAGGTTGCACATCATGGAGAGTAAGGTTTACCATAGTAGGCACTAGGCACTTAAAAAAAGTGAAATTCAATATTACCTTAAATCTTGTCGGCTCGCTTAGTTCAAATACTAAGACATCCTCATCTTCTAAATTATGATCTATTGCAAAGCCTCTCCATCCACCACTAAGACCATTCTTCCTCCCAAGGTACAGAACATCATGTTCCTTACCCTTCTTATCTTCTAGAATCACTCTCAGCTCATTAGGAGAAAAGTTTTCTTTGCAAAACTTTGTCGGAAGTCCCTTAATGATAATAAAATACAAACACTTAAGGAACAAGTGACATTGATTTCACTTGATAGCTCGAGACTCAATTTAGTGGTAGGAGGGATTTTTAACTTACAAGCCAAAAACCACCAGATACATGTGATCGAACCATAGGCTTAATGAATGAAGGATAGTGGGATGTTAAATCTCTTTGAAGTTCCTCTGCTCTCTTTAATGCAACAATCTTTTGATCTTCAGAAAATAAAAACTTAGGAACACAAAGCTCACCTTTACCCAAGTCATCCTCCAGCTCATGAACTACAAATGCTCTTCCAATGACTGCATTAGGGCCAGCCAATGAAATCTAAATACACATGAAGAATTATGAATAGGAACAAAAGAAAATCAGCAAGATTAAAACATAAATCAAGATAGCGTAATATCCGTCATATAAAATTACAACATAAATCTTCCTACATATGTTGGCCACTGTTAACATGAAATACCATCTGGAGAGCACATGATTCCAACATTACACTTTCTGCATATTCCTCAGATCCATGTCCTGCAGTTACTATATTTTCATCGTGCCACATATGCATCAAACTTAACATTTCTTCAAACAAACAATAAAGATATGCTCAACACTGTAATTCAACTATTTGTAAAATTATCTGCATTGCGGCACATCTATCAGCTGTAGGCATATAAAATTGCTTATAGGTCCCTTAGCACAGCTCGGCACAAACCGACGAACCAACG